AATAATACATATAACATGCATATACATGGATGCTCGCCGGAAATTTATCATGGAGGAAAATAACAAAATTAAACATTAAAAATTTCATTTAAAAAAAGTTTATTCTTTGCAAACTTTAAAATGAAAAAGAAAAATTATAATTAAGTCAAGATATTAATTAAATCTTTATTTAAACAATAATAAATTTCAAAGTTTCAAGATTATATTTGAAGTCTAGGGGGGCGGGGAATGTCCATTAGTACGCCCATATACATACACATATTACATATTAAATACATATTCTATAGACATCAATACAAAACATCATTTAAATGAATTTTCTATTATGATACCCATACCTTTATATAAAACCAAAATTATTTTTAAAATAAACTATTAGTATTATCCAAATGAATAAAAATAAAATAGTACAGCACAAATGTATTAATATATATGTGCATATAACTCACTTTTATTCGTGTAGATAATATATTGCATATTATTGTGTTGTAGAGCTAAAAGTATATTATCTAATTTAGACTTATTATACATCGTAAATGTAAAAATACGTAAAAAAAATATACATAATAATGTGTTTGGGTTTTTATACCAAAATACAAAGTCAAATTTTTATTTTTAAACAATGTTAATTTTATAATACTTTTAACAATTAAAATAAACTAAATTAATTTGCATGTTATCCAAACAAATTATTATATATATAAAACGCGACAATTGTCAAAATTCACAAAAAAAATAAGTTATATTTTCGTTTACAATATACAAGAATACACAATACACATGCCAGTATATTTACCTAAATAATATGTCATATATTATAAAATACACTTGGCTACATAATATGTGTGATGTACCTATATAAAACATATATGTTTGAGAAGGCCTTGAACTGCTACTACAGTATAACCTTGAACTCTTTGTGCAACATTACAAGTTACTATATGTATTATATAGTATATATACTCTTCGTTTACAGTCCCTATTTATAAAAAAAAAGTCATAAAACGAAAAATGAAAATTCAAGCTTTTATCAAATACTTATAAGTTTTAGATTATAGTTTATAGATTTAATAAATTACTATAGTGATTAAAGACAGAAAAATACCAAATAAAGATAAATTAAAGAATTGCAAATTACCGATATGAGGGAAAATATTAATTCTAAAATATAGTCTGTAAATATACACCATTTGAGTATAAAATACAAATATATTGATTATAACTCATATAAGCTATATTATTATAATTAAAACACTAATATGTAAATAGAGCTTTATACAATATATATATATCTGATATTAAGAAAAATATTAATGAAGTTATGCTAATAATTTTGTAATTTATATTTTTGTCAAATTATACTGTAATAACAAGGTTTATAGATTTGATTGTATTAAGATGTTATAACTATTTTTTTTTTTTTACAAAATAGTGTTGGCCCCATAATAATTTTCTTCTTAATGCAATGTATAGGCGAAGGACACAAACTCTTCTACGATTACAAGGTAGGTTAGGTGAGTAGAGTAGGTACCTGTACACTCATAGTGCAGCATTTACAACGCAACCAGCTGTTGCAACCGTTTTATATACACGTTTTAAACAGCGAAATATTATATGTGCACATAAATCTAAAAGCGAATTGCACTACAATATTTATTGAGGGATAAAATTGTTAGACTAATAGACAAAAGTGTTAAATTTTTCAAAATTTAAATTTTCATGAGTTAGGTTAGGTTTATTTGAAATACTATTATCTTTACAATTTCTATACCTTAACATTAATTTATTAAACAAATAGTAATATATTCAATAAATGCAAGCATTAAGTCTATACTGCAGTCTACGTACGTTTAATATTTAAACAACTCAATTGTTTTATCACTCAATTGACAGTCAAAGAAATAGTCATTTTTTATGTACCGTGTACCTATTAATAAGCCGTCCACTGCATATAAAGTTATATAGTTGTATAAATGTGTATATATTCGTACATGTGCGTGTGCTTATTTTAAATTAGAATGTTTTGATTCACATGATTATAATATTTCGTAAAATATGTAGTTATAAAAGTAAAATTATTATGTATTTTAAAGCCATTCCACCGCAGTGTCCATGCACCTTACATCATTACAACGCTATGAGCACACTATATTTGTGCGCACGCACATAAACAAGCCACACAGATACACACATAAATACCTAGCCGTGACTAATTGCCACCAACCGTTCCCGAATCCCGCGTGTATGGCGATAATTATATTATATTATATATTTTTACCTCTAAATCTCATTATTTCGACTTGTTCGCGTATAAGCCCTAATTTTCAGAGCGGTACATTACAAGTATAATACACGAATGCACGTTAGAAGCCTGTTCCGAATTACATAAATTCAAGAATTATATTATATTATAGACAATATTATGACATAAAAATGACATCATGGCAATTTGCTTATAATCCAGTTTTAAAATAATAAATGAAGTACAGCCGCCGCTGATTGTTCAGTATGCGAAAAATATGCGTTAGACGGAGCCACCCGTATATCGTTTTCGTAGACGCAGGAAAAGTTGGGCGGGATAAATAGGACGCGCGCGCAGGGTACGGGCGGAGGCGTTCGGCCATTTTGACGCGTCCCTCGCCCACAAACGCCCGGCGGCACTTAATCGCCAGCTGGGTTCAACGTTACAATCTCACGCGTTATCATAAAGTAGTAATTTTAATTAATTTCTTTTTATTATTCGACAATAAAATCATTATCACATCACGTTTTTGTATAATAGTGTACTGTTATTATATAGATAATAATACTTAAAAACAAATTAATATTTTATGTGAACAATTAAAAAATATTATATCCACTGCTATAATATTACCTATACTTTTTTCGAAGCGTTAAGGTTTGTTTTTCTTATTAGAAAAATTGTATACTTAAAATATTATTGAATTTTTTATGATTTAATAAATCTATTTAGACCACTTGGATCCTTCGCCGCAACCACAATTCCTCTCCATTTTTTTTTTTTTTTGTCTATTGTAGCTATCGCTTTATCACTATATATATATATATATATATATTCATACGTATTAACAAAATACAAAGAGCTTATATTTATTCAAGTTTATGAAATTTTTTTTATTGTTTAATATGAAGTCACAGCAGTACCTACATGAAAAATAATAATTCAAATATTTAACATTACAATATACAAATAATATTTTTCAAAAAATCTATTATACCTATGTTTAATTTCAATATCACGTAATTTAAATAAAATACGAATCCAGGTATTTTTATTATTTGATATTTATAATAGGTACTCAATATAAATATAGTAAGTAGGTATCCTTCACGTACATCTAGCCTATACTATGCAAATCGATTTATGTACCTTTTCCTATTCATGCTAAATTGATGGCGATTACAATTGTATATTATAATACTGTTGTAGATCCAATGGACTTTGCGAGGCAATTGTGGAAAGGGGGCATTCCCCTTCTACTTGATATACATTTTTCACCCAAATTTATACATATTATATGCGTACAATATAAATATGTACATAATATATTCATAATGTAGCTATATTATAATAAGTTTTTCCTCCTATTTAGAAATTGATCTAAGTATACCATGAACCATTAAAAGACACTGAGTACTCATAGACATAAATATAAATCGGGTAATGTTATATTGTATATTTTAATATTTAAAATTGCAATATATTTTAAAATTTAAATTATGCTAACACAATAATGCTTGATACTTTTAATTGATCCAGATCATAAAAGATATTTAAGAACATATTTTTACTTTAACATTATTATTGTTGCGATTCGCGTCTCATGGTATATTTAGATAACACGACATTTTTCATAATATAAGTACTACTGAATAGTATAATACAATGCGAAATTATAAAGTAATAAAGTATGTGATTAATAACAAATAATTTGTGACAATATTCATATTTTAATTAATTAATTAGTGAAATTTATTTATATAAAAGATTGAAGTCTCACAAGTGTTTTATGATTCAACTAAAAATTATGTAAGTATATCTATACCTATCACAAAAATAGGCTCTGAGATCATTGCAGTCGTGAGAAAGTGATGGGTCATTTATGGACGAGGGTGGTAGAATTCGGAGGCTACTACAACTATACACTGTTATTCAATATATTGTAAAGAAAAGATACAGGGGTTAAACAGTAGGTATTGTATTATAGGTAAAAGTAATAAAACCATTCGTTTACAATATTTATAATACCATAAAATCAAATCCTTTTAAATAAAAACTATCAACCCATATATCATAAAAATAGATAAACATATTACTTATTAAAGGATTATTATTTTCATATAGTTATTAAGAAAGACTGAAATAAAATAGATACTATTTTATAATGGCGAAAGTGGTATAAGTACGAATAGAGTGTAGAATATGATACACAATTAGCATATTCTACACTTTGTTTAAATGATAATAGTGTAAAATGTGCAACAACAATGATGTCCCGGATCGTTCAAATCATCATATTTCTTTATAGACCACCCGCAATTTTTCTCATGGAACACCCCTGTGCGCACTCTGCATGGCCAAAACGAGCACAAAAGTACAATATTCTCTCGGTGAGCTATGACGATGTGCTAGCAGATTTATTTCCATTGGAACGGAACCGGTTATGAAATGAAACACAGATACAACATGGCATGTATCTACTCGTATTATCGTCTTCGTCTTAATGATATTGTGAATTGTAAACGTAATAAAGGTAATTACTAAGACCGTATAGAGAAAAATTAAAATTAAAGAGAGAGTTGAAAAAACGAAAAACGCATGTAAATGGCACTGAAATTATATGTGTAGGTACCGCAACGAAAATCGGTGGACAAGGACGTCCTAAAAATCTATACGAAAATAATAACAAAAATTGACTACTACACTCAAAAAACTTATATCCAACTTAAACTATTTTCATTATTATTATTACACTCACAGTATTGGTTGTCATATCAACGACTACGTAAATGAGCAGGACGATTTCCTGTTCATCAGATCCGAGTAGGTTTCCTTGGTGGCCAGCCGTGGCCACGTACAGGGCACATAGGTACGGTGTGGCCGCTCTCATATTAGTGGCCTTAATACTTTTGCAAACGTCTTGCAGTTGTATTTGGAGGCCCCCCTTCTCCGCCACCTCCACCAGCGGTCGAGTGTCACAGACCGTCGATTTGATGTCGGACATTCCCCATTACCTATATATAGAAACATACAATATTTAATAACAAATACAAAACTAAAAAAAAACTTTCTTATATTGTTATTAAAATAATGATAAACACTAGAATACTTAAACCATAATGCTTTTTTACTCTTTAGAAATATTAAAACTGATGTAAAGTAAAATGTTATAACTAAGGTGCGGATTTATATGTATTTAAAACTCAAAAATATGTACATATGCCATATATATGTATTTAATTTTATCCAAGTATGTAATTAAAAATATAAGAAAAAAATTATTATTGTAATTATAATTATATATTAGTATATTATTATTTATATTACTATTAAGTATTTATTCAAGATCCTCGTCGTCAACAAAACAATAAGTGACCATATACTTTTTTAAGTTTTTACAATGGTAATTTTTTCAATATAGGGGAATTTTTAACAAAAATATGTAATAAAAATAAATTATGTTAAAATATGTAAGTAAGCTTAAATATGTAAAAAATGTAGTATCGACCATCATGGCTCTTAAAGCATTCAGATACAGTTTCTGAAACGTATATTTCTATAGAGGAATTGTTCGTCACAAATATGTATACCTATTTATATATATCCGCACCTTAGTTATAATCAATATAGTTTTTAAATTTTTTTTCTAAATATAAAAAAGAAAGAGAAAATTCAACACGACAAAACAAATACATAAATATGTATTCATTTATATTTAACAATACAAATAATTATATTTGATATTATATAATAACTTAGGTATAGATAATTATAATTTTTAGATAATTTATCTTTGAAATATTAACAAAAAACATTAAAAAGCTTAGATTTTTTGGAAGATTATTTTTAATTGTTAACATTATACATTTACTTTTTTTTTATCCTATACTGATTTATTAGGTATTTAAAAACATATAATTAAATTATTCGATTTATACTAAAAGAAAATCATTCATAGTAGATATTATTATCTACTTATATAAATATCTTTTTTTTATAATAATTATAATATTATTTTTCAAATTCATCACATTCTTTTTAAGGACGAATAAAATTACATAATTTAAAAAATATTTAATTGATTCCATGAAATAACGTAAAACATTACATTGTATCTTGTACACATTTTCATGGCCTTGACAATGTTAACAACTAGTCTTTTATAATTTAAGAAAATTTACATGTGACGCAATTTACACCCATGGCCGTCTTCTATTCGGAGAGTAATTGTACTATATTATATTTTTAACACAAGATTCATATCAACACGTAATCAATTTTGACGAATAAAATATATTTCAGAATAATATGATGTGTTATACTTTTATGGATAAATCTAAAACAATACATTCAGAAGTAATATATATATATATAATTCAAAACACAAAAATCTATGATACAACATATTTTTAAATTGTTTTATTTTAATGATTTGATTTTATTATAGTCGTGTTAAAAACTTTTTCTTTAAGGTGTCACATACATAAATGTATACTAAGTAATGTATATAATATTATGATAAACATTTTAACTGGCAAATCGTATATAATAATTAACATTTAATAATAAAAAATGAAACCATTCATCTAAACCAATTGAAACCTCGATGTATAAACGACTGAAATAACAAATTTAAATCATTTATAATATCTTTTCACATATTCAATATAAATAACCATAAATGAAAATGAATGAAAGGGTTGAAAAGGTAATTTTACGCAAGCAGAATTATAAAATAACGATCGAAACAGTTCAACTTATATAAGAAGCCAAGTAATATCAAACTACAAAAAGTAATTCTCTCGACAAGCATACAGTTTTAATGGATATAAAAAATGTCCTGTAATATTTTTGAGTAACGCATTAAATTACTAAAAACATTCAGAAATAGAACAATTAAATTACTAAAGAAAACTATAAAAAGTATAGTGAATAAATCAATTGTAATCAAAACAACTTATTTTATTAAAACTTTTAAAAACGATTTATAAATTAAATTCAAAACAAAATTTATTATAAATTATTTATCATGTTCAGGAGGGTTTATATAAATACTGAAAACACAATAATAGTACTAGTATAACGATAGTCTTTTGTATCAACTATTAATTTTAAGAGACAAACTATATTTATTTTTTTAAGACAAATTTGTATACAAGCTAATTAAGTATTAATTAATAGATGTTGGATTAAAAATAAAATATATTTATAACGCTTACATGTATAAAAAATAAAAATTATATTAATCATATTAATTATAATATAAATAATACGAAATTATTTTAAATCTTATACAAATAACAGATACTTTTAAGAACATTATTATATTATCTATTATAATAATATTTTCCTAAATATTTTTTTTTTTTAATGAATATAATATTTATGACCTTGATAGACTTGACGAATATGAAATAGAATAACAAACTGAGTGTAGGTATTAAAATGCATTGAATATTATAATGTTAAATGTATTATAAATAGAAACATTTTAACATATTTCTAGTTTAAATAAGCCAACTATAAATAAATTAAATGAACAGATTCTTAAATGCAAGTAAATTATTTATCATGGTATTATAAAAAATTCACATAATACGTAATAAAATTACATAATTTATATTTAATAAGTATCTATATATATTTTATTATTAATAATCAGTTCATGTTTATAATGCAAAAAATTTAGACTAACTAATTAATGTATAGTAATAAATATAGATTTAGAGATATTGCAAGATCAATTATTAAATATATCGGTGTTGAAAATGAAACACAGATTATTATAAATGATAAACTGTATCCAATATTTTAATTATTTTACCATAATTAGTTATTTAACAAGTTACAATATTACGTTCGTTTAAATATAAAAACCAAAGTTTTTCAATACATAATACAGTATACCTGCATATGAAATATTTTTAATTTTTAATGAGATGTGGTTTTTTTTTTTATAAAGGGTCGTCGCAAAAAATAAATTTGTATACATCTTTTGTAATACTGAACGGAAACGTCAAATATCATTGTAATAATAAAACCGCGTAGGTAGGCTTTCACTAGCCACGAATGGTAGTGGTGGCCACAACAGTCTGCGCCTGGGAAAACCGTTCTGTGGCCGATGAACCGATGAAAAAAGTACAGCAAGCCATTCTTATCTAAACAGATGCAAATTGAGAAGAAAAATAAAACCGAGAATAAAACCGAAAAGATTTAATACGCACAAGCAATGGAAACAAAATGATATATATATAATATATATATTATAAATTATACTAAATTTATATAAATATACGATGTAGTTGATACAACAATTACTTAAAATTTAACAAAATTAAGATTTCCAATTAAACATTTTACAGTACAATTAATATACAAAATTATTTAACACTCTTATCTTTCTTGTAATAAAATGTGCACATTGTATACTAGTAATCAATATAAACATTAATGAACCATATTATAAGTTCTATAAATATCCAAATATTTTTTAGAATCAAAAATATAATAAATTACATTGAATAATTAATTTATTACTGAGAATATATTTTAATTCAATTTTTTAGTATGTCTTTAACTTACAAGCTTAAAAAATGTAGGTCTTTACATAAAAATACACCTATTTAATCATTTATTTTAAAGATGGTTTTGATTTTATACTTAGAATAGTGAATTATGACTTAAACTAAGATACATTACAGAAGCATAGGTAAATCACTATAAATGATTTGATATAGATACAATTGATTTTATTTTCCTTTTATTTATATTTTATAATTTATATTGATATAGGTTTTGATTAAAAAATGTTTGATTTCTACATATTATACTTTATAAAAATATAATGAAGATCAATTTTAGTGGCATCATAAGAACTGTTTTTTTGAGAAAGAAATATATTTAGTTGCTTGTGTAGTTTAATAGGTTAATGGGTAACTAGATATTATTTTTATTATTATTATTATTATATTACACATAATTTGCAGTTAGCATATCATACACTGTTATAAGTGGGTGGAACTGTGCTCTAGCAATAAAAAAGTACACGATATCGCTATGTCAGTAAGCAAAGATACAACTGATAACATTTAGTTGATAAACATCTGCTAGGAACTATGGTAAGCAGTTTTTGACCTTGATTAGTTGATTATCTGGATTTTTACAAAATTATACTATCGACAAATTATTTAATAAATGTATCCGATTTAGCCCATATATGATTATAGTCCACAACAAATAAAATCCAAATTATATCATCCATGTACATCTAAAAACTTGATGTGTTAGTACCACGAATCGTTATTTCATTATTACACGCGTGGTACAAATAATACTACAGAACACCATGTTTTTTAAACAAAATACTAAAATGTTTATTATTTTTTTCTGCAAATATAATAGAATTCGGTTTTTTTTTTTTTTTTAAAGAAAAATAGTTATATAGTATCTATATAATATTATAAATTTAATTGTCATTAGTTTTACTTGAATTAAATCTGTTATCACAAAAGAATTTAATTATTCACTAAAATTGAAAAAGTAATAAAATAATTTTTTTATATAAAAATGACGAGGTATACTATCCTTATGACTAGTGTTAACGTAATAAATAATTACTATAAGACCAAAATTAATTTAATAGTATATAATGTAAATTATATTCATGTTTTTAAAACTATTTAAATTGGTTACGAATCAAAAATCAAGTCCAGTTGTAATAAAAATCAGTATAAGTAAACCAGTTAAACATGTAAGAACTTCTCTTTTTTTCAACTTCTGCAATGTGGTAATATTTAAAAATGATAAAGAACATACTGATTCAAAGTTAAAATTTTTAATGAAAAGTAATAAAACTATATAATAAATATTTACAATTACCTAAGTATCTGAGTACAATATTATTTAGGGACGACTGTTTATTGATCGATGATTGTACTATATTACATTGTTGTCTCACACAATGCGATTGTTGGGGAGGTATAATAACAAAATACAATTTAAATAACCGTGTTTTATATAGGTGCGTATTTTATATTCTCAACGAAAAAAAGATGAAGCCAAACACACGCGTTACGTAATCAACATAACATATGAGTTTTAAGGGGTTAAGTGCGGTACTTTTTATATTTTTCTTATGAAAATTAATGTTATAGTTACCAAGATAAAATAGAATTTAAAATTTCTAGTGACTGCTCCTCAACTAAAAAGTTTTTCTTTTTAATACGGGGGAGGGGGATATTAAAACAACAAGTTGACAAATTCCTTCACGGTACGATGATGGGAATGCCCGCTACAGCAGTCGTAGTTCCCTGGACACGCATCACAAACCACGTATGAACAATAATACGCGTGTTACGTCGTCCAGAAAGGTAACACGGATGTGTAACGATAGAGTAGAGCTTCAATGTTAAAACTTCAAAAACTAAATAAGTCTTCAATATGATTATTTATTAGGTTAAGTTATTTTAATATTCTCGTCATTCTCATTATAAAAATTGCACATTATGTACTGATAATATAAATAAACATAGGGTTAGATTAAGTTGTTACGTTAAGATATATTAATATCTAAATAGATTTTAGGATCAAAAATATAATAAAGTATATTGAATAGTTAATTTATTACTGAGAATATATTTTAATTCAATTCTGTAGTATGATTTGTATTAATCATAGAATTATTTTGAATATTCTAACAATAAATTTACCACTATTTTTATACATTTTAAGTCTTTTATGTAATATTTTTAAATAATTATTAAATTAAATAACATATTATTATCATGTGTTGTCAATATATTTAAATTTTTCACTATATAGATAGACTAAACTATTTTAAAATAAATATTTTATAGCTCATTAATAAATTATATAACTTAAAATATTTCTCATAGGAAAATAAACATTTCATAAATTGTACTAAAATTAAATACAAACAAATTAATGGTTTATGAAAGGTATGTACATATATTATAATAATATAGCACAGACGAATTTTTTCAGCCAAGAAAATAATAATAATAGATGATGATTTAAAGATTTAAAAAAAATATTTATCACTTAAAATATTAATAAAACTTTATTTTGTATGTAGGTACTCTAATAGTTATGATAAACACCCATTAGTGTAAGTATAAACATTATAGTTATTTTTATTTAATCCAAATTCAATATAGGTACTAACAAATTTGTTTTTATTTTTAGTTCTAGTTCTAAAACAAATTTTATTATTATCTAAGTGTAAAATAAACATATTTTTATAGTTTTAAGTATCAAACAAAATAATCTCAAATTTTAGCTACCTATTTAAAAATATACAATCACATTTTACGAAAATATACTGTGGTTTATGATATATTATAAAAGTAGTTGATGGTTTGTAGTTTAACATATCTCAATTGAATATTGAATAAATTTAAAAATTGAACTATAATATGTATATTTCAAACAACGGTGAACGAACTACCTACTATAAATTATTTCAAAACATTTAATTTTCTAAGGAATGAAAATAATTATAAATTAATAAACCTATCGATGTTTTATATTAAATATTTTAAAACTATAAAAATTTAAAATTACTTAGTTATTTGACAAAACCCAAATAATAAAATCTTGTTTTATTAATATTTTTTATAAGCAATGTGTTAATACAAATACGATAGGTAAGTTAGGAGTAATAAATGATGAATTCTAACTGCGGAATCTAATAAATTAAATCAAAGATATCCTATACACATTCAAAATTACGGAATCTATCATCAGAAAATGTTCAAAATTTATTATAACATATTTACACATTAATTGAAAGGTTTATGATTCAAACGAAAACCCCTATAACTGATATCTTAATATGTTATCGTTCGAGGGATAAGAGAAAATATAGTATAGAATCAACATGTTATTATCATTCTACAATAATAATATTATTCTCGAGCAAGTATAAATAGTTTAATCTAATTTTAAAGGCATCTACGATATTGCTACTTTTATAAGTGATACTAAAGTTACTTAAAATTATATGAGTACAAGACTATAAAATGCATTAATTTTAATAAAATAGTAATACCTTCATTCACCACAACTGCATTATTCTTATATAAGACGAAATGCAAAAGTAAAAACAAAAATCGAGCTGCTGTGGTTAAAAAACGGAAAAAGTTTGTAGCAAGATACCTGTTGCTGATGATCAGTTCAGCACATGTACCGTATACGGAGATAATATCTACACACACGCATACACACAATATTAACTCACCGTTCAGCCCGTTTCATATCCGTTATTTGATTCCGGTCGTTCGGAAGGCGCACTAGGATTTATTGTAAATAATATTTCTATCGAATCGGTGACGACCGGCACACAAGCGACGAAAAAATGAACCAAACTTTCGAAATACGTATCCGGAATTCCGATTTATGATCGATTCCGGTAACGGCGGAAGGGCGCGGGGGACGTCGAAGATCTTTCACGTAATGAATAATAATGTATTATACTATTATATTCCTATTATTTAACTATATAAGCGTACGGACACACATTCAATAAGCTTTACTTATACAATAATATGAAATATTATGCTGTAAATTTAGATTTGTTAAATTGTTGACATGATTATCCGTATTATTTTTAACCGAACGTGCTCGCACACCGGAGACCGAATGCTGTCGAGTGGCGGCGGCGGTTCTCTGTTGCGTTGTAAACGACAACGGTGAGAGTAGGAAAAATACTACAGGTATTATAAACGCGATTATAGTGGGAACGGGACGAGGTAGCTAGGAGGACGGTCCGTGGCAGCGGTGCTCCGGTGGGGAGCCAGGTGATACGGCCAGGTGAACCAGGTATTTCGGTGCGTATGTGTGCATGTGTGTTTGTGTGTGTGTGCGTGGTGTGCGTGTGTGTGTGTGTGTGTGTGTTGTTGTGTACGTGTGTCTGCTACGTGTATTACGGTTGTGGCGACGTCACTCCCCACTAGCGAAACCGGCTTTCCCCCTACCCACGGAACGACTACCGCGTCTTTCCCACTACCCGAGCCATCGTCGTCGGGATCTTCTTCGCCGCCGCATCGTCATCGTCGTCGTCGCGTAGTAGGGACTGAAAGCGGCGACCTTCAGGTGCGTATTATCGTTATGACGTTCGTAAATTATAATACAATATAATATTAACTAGATATATCTATCTAAACATGTATGTATTTTGTATATGCACGAAAAATGTACCATATGCAGTGATTATTTTTTTATCATCTTGGTGTGTGAATTTCGGTAGAAAAAAAATTGGGTTTCACTCGCATTGATCGTATTATTTTAAGGAGCTATAACGTTTCCACCACTCTACCCTTCTTTTAGAAATGTTACCAAATACATTTTTTTTTTTCGAGAAACGTACGAACATATATTAAACTTTGAGTGTACAAAAGCATTAAATCAAAAGTCCATATTATGATGTAAAAGCGAATTAAAATTAGTTAATAAATCGTTGTTTTTAAGAACTTATGTTATATAATATGAATAGAATCCTGTTATGAAAAAAAATCACTATCACACGTTCTGTATCAAATGTGTAATAAATAGTAACCAATAAACATTAAGCCTGAGTATTTTATTTGATTTTATATTCGTTTCATTTATACGCTTACACACACTTATTTTTCTAAGAATTAACATCATGTAAAAATGTTAAGCATATTATCATTTTACTGATAAATAAATGTGATTTTCAACTTTGAATTATATTTATGAATGTGATGGAATAAAGGTGTCCAAATACAAATATTTCATCAAATTAAATAATTGTTTATAATGTAATTAATAACTTTATAAGGTAGTGTCATTAGTAGATTGAATACTAGTGTATTCATTAAACTTGAATAGTATACTCGGTATAATTGAACAAGTAAATTTAGAAATACATAATTAAGGTGTTAGTTATAACAATGTCTGTGCCTTTCATTATTTTTATACTTCCAAATAAACATAATAATTAATGGAAAAATAATGTATGTATATTGTGTAGCCAATAAATTCGGTAAATGTCAAAAATAAAGTATAACAAGTGAGGATTTTAGTGAAACAATTTTATAACAAAAACTTACAATATTTATCATACCAAAATAGTTTTGTCAACAAAATAATATTACTTATAAAGTAATAAGTTATATTATATTTACTAAATCAAATATTTAATACTCTATGAATATTTTTTTAACAAATAAATGTTACGTTAATTTTTCATTGGACAGTATAACAATATAATACATTAAATATATTTATTTATAAGTAATATATATTATGTATTATTTATCTAAATAACAACTTAGAATATTCAGCATAAGAAAAAACAAGAAAAGTCGTTGTTTACCTGCATATACCTATAAAATAAGTTTTAAGTGTCCTTAAAATGACCATATTATTTTTAAAAAAAAACTGGGACAAACAATTTTGACTCAGCTCTAAAATATCTTCAACTTTCAAGTATTGTTTAATCATTTTATATGATGTTTTAGGGGTCGTATTTGCTTGTTAGATAAGGTGTATTTACTATGTTGTTGGAAAGGGTGATGATCGTGTGGGTTCATAATTACACAGTGCAATACGCCAATACGACAAATACGACAAGTCTCTTGCTTATCGCTGACAATAATGCTATTCATCGGCACTCGATTCTTGTTGAGTAAAAACTGTTATTTATAAGTTATAACTATTAACTTTTTTTCAATATAAAATTATAAAAATATAATTTTGTATTTTTATTGTGTAGTAATAGATATTTTATTTTATGCTCATATAATATAAACTATAGGTAAAGTAATTGGTAACGGGATTTAAATGAGATTATTTTCTTATCATTTCGAGATATAGACATAATCCCAATTAAATGGGATGTATATGGTCACCCTAATATTCATTATTCATCATTCAGTAGATCATTGATTGAAATTGATGTGTTAAATTTGAATAAAATGACAAATCATTTCATATAGTTCTAAGCGGATACGGAGTATCTATTGGTGAAAAACGGATAGACTTGGGAGGGGATTAGTCCTTTCAAAGGTCTTTTAAGCTCAAGCTCGATTTCCTAACAGCAAATAACAAGATAATTTTTTTAAATTTTCCTACATGAATTTAAGAATAAATCGCTCAAAATTTCCATAAAAAATTATTATGTACCTAGAATATTTTTTTAGTTAATAAAGTGGCAAATATTTTAACTAAAAAAAAATCCTTATTTTCCGTGAAGTGCTTGCATAATCCAACTAACTATTATTATTTTAAAATAATTTATAAAAACTAGAGAACTTGCTTATAGCTTATAAGCATAATACAAAAAAACATTTCTTAAGAGCTGAGTCGTAAGAAAATTTGAACTTTTCAAAATTAAAACTTTTATCAGATAAAACTGTGCACATGTCATTCAATACTTTTAAATTCTTATAAAAAATAACTAAATAGGAGCATTGCATTACATTTTCAAAACACGGATATTTTTTTCTATTAAAATTAAAAATATTAAGAAGTTTTGTTTATAAAATAATTTGTGAATAATCGTCGATGTTTTTAATAGATACTAACTGCGTATATTATTAAACATAATAATAATTTTGTAACATTAACTTTGATGAAATTTTAATAACGGTAGTTTGCGTGAAGCGAGAATAATTTTTTTATTGCATTTTAATTTTTAAATCGTTAGCCTTCCTACTAATAAATATCCAATTTCTGCCTATATGGGTATCATCAGTCACGATTTCTACGGATATCTTAAAATTTACCTACGTTTATTACTATATTAATAAATTATTTTTCTATTATTTAAATGGTATAAATGGAAATAATTTTGTTAAAACATCCTATAAATTATATAATATAAATCATATATATTATTATTACCTATATAAGTTAATATATCCTGGTATACAAGCATACCTTAATATTAATCTTAATATTTTGAAAATTGTATTATGTTTTTAAAATAATTACTATTTATAATAAATACGTAATACCATAACTGTTGAATCCTTACAATGATTATATTAAATTTCAACAAAATAACTAAAATAACTTAAAATCGTTAATTTTTGTAAATATCTAATTCAATTAACATTTTAGCTTTGAATTACTAAAATCATTGTACCTATGTATTTTGAATATTTTTGAATTTCTATAAAAAACATTTATAGTTTATAAGAAACCTCATAATATTAAAACAGTTTTATTAAATTGTATAGAAAAAAGCAAAAAATATTTAAAAAGTAAGAAAATATAAGTAACTATTTACATATATACAGTAAGTATTGTGTCTCATCACTGAGGAGTAAATTACTGAAGTATATGTATTAAAGTTTAATTGAATAATAAATCATTGCATACGAAAAACGATTCTGAGAAAAGACAGTTTTAATTTATCAACCTATAGTTAAACATTTTTTTCATATTGTTTAGTCAATATAAAATTCATAATAATAATAATAATAATAAGAAATATAACTTAATAACAAAGTACGAGTAGATATATAAATATTATTAATTTAAATCTGTATTTAAAAGTTATACTTGTATTACTATTAAAGTAATTGATTTTGCTACATAGTAATACAGTATAGGATGAATTATTTTTGCCCAAAAATATTGTAGGTACTTGAAACCTCATAACTGCGTATTTGAGTGTATAAAATTTAATGATATACGGTAAAAATTTTAAGTAAGTTCATACTTTAAAAAGGTCAAAATTAAAAATTTCCAATATTTTTCAAAATAAATTGGAAAAACAAAACAAAAGTCAAGAAAAAACACGAATTTTTAATTTTGACCTTTCTAAAGTATAAACTAGATTTAATTTTCAATCTAAAATTACCCTCAAAGTCAAAATGCAAGCATATTTTCAACTACTATTTGTATACATACAATATTAATTAATTTAACACATTTAGGCTCATTATTTTTTCAATAATTAGCACCTTTAATATTACTTATAAATATCATTGTGTAGATTTATAAATATAATTGTATAAATTCTGATTGAAGTGACATCAATTTTATAGCAAAATTCATTGCTTAAAAATATCAATATAGCATTAATAATTATTAATAAATACAAAAATATTTAAAGTTCAGGATCTAGAAATTACAGTTTTTAAATCTTAATTGACAATGTTTTGGCTACTTATTTTACTTATTTAAAATAAAATAAAATATCAGATAAACTATCATTAAATATTTATAAATTTGAATTGTATTATAATTATTTAAATTATTTACAATTTATGAATATAAAATCTAAATAAGTAAGTACTTCTAAAATCTAAAATATTAATTCGATTTTATTCGTAGATAGTATAATACTTAACAATGTTGAACTTACAAATTGTTTAGCTCTATAATATTTTATTTGTCGAATTACAAACTTACACTACCTATATATTAGTAAATAGATACATTATCGATTAAAAAACAAACGAAGTTACTTGGCTGCAAGAGTGTATCTTGTCATTAAGTAAGTCACTTTAATATATTATTTGTTATAATTGAATATGATTATACAGAATTTGTTGAACTTCAAACGCATATAAAAAATATATTGTATACCTATACGTATTTTTGATGACTTTTGTTGGATATATATGAACAACTTTAATACAGAATAAATCAAAATAAAATTAAGAAAAGTTCAAAAATTCAAATATTTATAATTTATAAATAGTACAAGAGATTTA